GGGGGGGGGGGTGGGGCCGGGGACACACAGACAGTGGCTGGTCCCCTTGAGAGGGAACATTGGTGGTGGCTGCAAGCCCTGAGTCCAAGTGCCCCAGCAGGCCCCCACCCTGACCCTCATATTACCATTGGGTGCAATGTCCTGCTGGAAGTCCCCATGACCCCGGCATGAGGAGGGTCCCAGGGCTCTCCCCTGTGGCAGGGACATGCAGCAGTAGGGAAGGGAGCTGGTCCTCCCCTGGGCACGTGATGCCTGCAGCAGCCCCAGGAGAGTCGGGAAGCTGCTAGGGCTCATCAGGCAGGTTCCTCTCACCAGTGAAGCCTCAGTGAAACACCCCTGGAGCCAGAGGGAGCCCCAGCACCTAGAGACACTAGCTCCCAAACCTCCCATGCCTTCCTCTGCTCCTGCCCCAGCTGATCCTCTCACCGCTGCTGCAGCAGGACAGCCACATCCCTCCCAGGCACCCGCATCCTTGCCATCCACCCTGACACCCCATGCCATGGGAGAAGCAGGGGATGAGGCCGCACACAGCACCCAGGGGACTCGGACAATGCTGGGGGAGAAGCAACTCAGCAAGGCAGGCACCCGGCCCTGCCGGCTCTGGGCAGAACTGCCTGAAAACTCTCAGTGCCAAGCAGCAGCCGAAGAGGTGAGGCCAGACACCAGGCACTGTTAAGAAAAGCCACTGGGCAGGAGTTTGTTTGAATTTTTTTTTTTAAGCCTCATCACCACTCTTGACAAACTTATTTTTATTAATTAACATCCTTGGGTTTACGTAACTTCCTTTTTAAAGGTTTAATACTACTGCGGTGAAACTTTTACTGTTAAGAACCACACAGAAACCATCACGTTCCCTCAAGTGCTGCACACAGTTCTCCCTGGCCTCTAAGCACAACCAGCCGGGCTGAAGCAGCACACAGGGATGGGGAGAGCCTGCACGGACCATAATGGGCCACCAGAGCTAGGGTGCCATGTGGCCCATGCAGACCCTGAGCGGTGTGGGAAGGGGAACAGCGAGTCCCCCTCACCCATGAGGCAGCCAAGGAGGAGCTTCTTGAGCCATCCTTGAGGCAGAGCCCACTTAAGCCATGCCCCAGGACACTGTGAATGCCAGAAGTGGAAATGGGTTCCAAAAGGGATCTAGCAAGCTCCTGGAAGATATGCCCAGCTGCAACTTGCTCAGTCTATGCCCTGCTGCATGGTAGCAGCATGGAGGTTCCCATTGCCTCGACACCCACCACCAGCTTTCCCTGCCAGGGTACTGCTGCCACGGGACCTGCCCTGTCCCCATGTCCTCGTGCCAGCCCCAGGCGGCACCAGAATTACAGCTCTGAGGGAGCCTGCCATGTCAGATGTGGGGAGGAGCTGCCTTGGACCCCATCACCTGCATACCTTAGGCTCCACTCTTTTTCCTCAGTGCAGGATAAACCACAGGTCACCTCATTTGATTGTAACATCGAAGCCTTTGCCCTCCAGCCTTTTACTTGAAGCTTTCAAGACTAAGCCTTGATTTTGCTTTAACACCATGCAAGGGGTGCTGCATGAGCATGCTGGTGCCCAGCTTGCTATTAGGGTTTCCAGCAATGTTCACTGCTCCAGTGTGTGACTTGCACAGAGCAGGACGGGATGCATTTGGCAGCCAGCCCCATTCCCCTGCAACGGGGGCAGGAAAGGTGAGAGGAGGAGCCCCAGGGGCACTGCTTAAGGCACGCAGGAACGGGGGCTGGGGCTGCCCCTGGACCTGGGCATGGACCTGGCTGAGCAGGGAAAGCAGGAAACAGCAGCACCCATGACCACCTGGACAAGAGCCACCAGCCCCCCACACACCCCAGGGTGGTCCCAGTAAGAGAGAAGGTGAATGAGCCTTGGTGGGGTGCTTCTTGGGTGGGAAGGCCCCCAGGCAGCCTGCCCCAGCTGCACTAACCTTGCGTCAGCCCAGCTGGGGAGAAGGAAAACTACAGGACAGTGAGCCAGACATTTGGACTGGGGTGAGAACAGGATGGGGATGGTGAACAGGGAGAGATGCCAATCCCATGCCATGGTGTGGAAGAGAAGGACAGCTCCCCTAAAGGTCTCCCAGTGCCCACCTGAGCTCCAGCACATGGGCAGCCCACAGCCTGGGAAGCAGCTTTGTCCTCACCTGCTGGTTGCCCATCTCCAGCATCACACCAAGGGCAGCCCCTTGGGTGTTGCATATGCTGGGGACAAGCTCTGGGCCACCACAGGGCTGCCCTCCTCCGGCCTAGGTGTGTACTTATGGGGAAAAGCCCTGCCTGCAGCTGCTGGAAAGCAGACAGGAGTGCTCACGCTGCCAGCTCCTGCATCTGACCACCAGGTTTTATTGAGCAGGGCAAGGCTGGGATGTGGCTGAGTACGTGAGGAGCCCTGGCCACCCCAATTCCCTCCCCTTCCCCAGCAGGAGGGCTTCCCAGGCAAGCTCCCTGGCACCCTCCTGGGCTGCACCGTGCCAAGGCTGGGACGGACACAGCACTACAGCCTTGCCTGCCCCAGGTTTCCTTCCTCCCCAGCTGCATGGCGCTGGCAGGACAGAGCAGTTTTGCAGCTGCAGCCCTCCAAGCCGTCTCTGCTTGCCCCCCCACATCACGCTGTCCCCAGCCAGCTCCAGAAGTGCATCCACCAGCTCCACTCCTCATTGCCTCCAGGATGCCGTGAAACACCAACACACTGCTTGAACTCCTCATCTTCAGCCCCAGGCCTGGTCATGGGTCCTTTTGTCCTGCTGCCGACAGCACAGGTGGGACAAGGGAGTCCTCAGTTCCAGGCTGCATTCCCACCAGAGCCAAGCAAGAGTCCAGCTCCCCACTGCTGTTTGGAGGGGCACAGCTCCACAAGCCCCCCGCACCAGGGGGAAACTCAGCTGGCTCAAACCCAGGCGGCAGGAGCAAGGCGGGGGGCAGAGCGGAGGCTACCTGCGTGGCGCACCACATCTGCAAAGAGAGCACAGCATGGGGTGAGTGCTGTCAGGATGGTGGGGGGGACACCAGGACCTCCAGGCTCACCCGCTCTGCCCCAGGTCCCCCCTCCCTGTGCCCAGCCTCTCCAGCACCAAACCGTGGGGTAGGGACCACAGGCAGCCTCTTCACAGGGAGGAGCAAGGGTGATGGGGCTGTAAGAGGTGGCTGAGCCCCGAGCAGCAAGCTTCAGATGAAACAGGTAAATACAATGGGAAAGTGCCAGCCACAGGCACCATACCCCAAAGGCATCTGCAGCAAGAGTCCAGCCTGTGCTGTTACCGCAAGTGGTTTGAGACAGTCAGCTAAATGTAAGGAGGGAAAGGGTAGAGTAACCCAAACAACGACCAGCCAAGGACTGCAGGAAGGACACAGCTGGCAGCAAGATGAGGCTGAAACTGGAAATTCATGGATCCAGGAAAGCCAACATGGTCTGTGACAGCAATAGAGCTATAAACGTCAAGTGACCCAGCCCATCCATCCCCACCCTGGGCGGGACTGGCTGGCTTTGAGCAGCTGAGCCTGGAGACTAATGAGCGCCTATTGAGCCTTCAGTAGAAGTCCCATTTCCCCACAGCTGCCCACTGTCCCCGCCATCCTGCTTTCTCCTGCATCTGCCCTGTATAAACCCCTCGCTGCTCACAGAGTCAGTAAAGACCTAAAAGCTTAACAAAAGGTTCTCATCCCAAAGAAGTGAAGCCAGAAGACACCACCCATACCTGCCCCTGCTCACTTACAGTTCACAGTCTTTACGTCTCTTCTTGTCTTGTCTTCTCTTACCTCGGCCCTTGGACCTCCTCCTTCGAAAGGGAAGTACCACAAGAGAGGCTGATGCGTGGGAGATGAGACCCACAACCCCAGCCAGTAACGCCACCCCTGATGTCACTTACCTTCCCAACCTCATCATGTCCTGCCGGGGCCTGTGGGGCAGGAAAAGGACAGATTGAAGTGGTTACTCAGGCAATACTATCTGTTGAGCTGCTGGAGGCGGTTTATCGAGATGCACCAGTGCGCAGCACAATCTGCCTCTTATCATTTATGCTTAAAACAGAACCAGTATGTCTTCTCTCCACACCAGCAGCTCCTCAGCCCAGAGCTGATTGCAGCAGGCAGAGAGAAGGCAAAGGCAGCAAGGGGGCAGGGGATGGCCAGCTTGGGCGACTCCCCTGGGGATGTGACATTTTGCCCATGAGGCTGGCAAGCACAGGTTCAGTTTCAGCTGCTCACAGTGACAGCTTTCATAGCTCAGCTGGTTAAACAAGATGCAACATCCTGAGTAACACATGGGATTTGCTGCAAAGTCTCAGTAGTGGTTCTCAGACAGCAGCCACGACATACTTGGCTTCAGCATCCCCTGTAGGGGCCAAGGCCAGGACATCCACCACGCCTACACTAAACTTCAAAGGGGAGTGATGTAAAGGTGTGGAAGGCAGCTTAGGGAGAAGCTGAAAGGTGCTGAGAAGCAAGAATTTTACACAGATTCAAAGGCAGCCTGCACAAGTACTCATAGGCGATCCCCTGGGAGTTACCCTAGGTAGGAAAACCACAACAGGCTCAGGAAATTCCCTGCACGGAAAATAGCTGGAAGTGGAGCAGGGGAAGTATCACATGTGCTTCTTCCAACTCCTTCTTCTACATCTACCGACAGATGCTCCAGAGACGGCACAGAGCTGGACAGGCCTTGAGTCTGCTCCAGCAGTCGCTCGTATGACTGCAGGGGAATACCGACCCAGGGATCCTCAGGCTCTTCTTCCAGGCAAGGATCACATCTAACAGCTGCCCAGCAGGACACTCAGTCCCCAGTTTTCGCAATACTAAATCACCCTGGGGTCATGATGGAGAGCAAATGCCAGGATCCCAGAGCAGGCGGTGCTGGAGAGGCTCTGCAGCAGGGACAGCCCATGCGCAGCACTGGAGCTGCTCCCCTCTCCCATAGCACTGCAGCCCCCAGGCACAGGCCCCGTCCTGCCCAAGCTCTCACCACTTCTGGGACACAGTGAGCACCCCAAGGGGTTAACTACATGCCAGGAAGTCTGGTGCAGGTTGGTGCTGTGCATCCAGCCCAGGCCAGGGCTGTGCATCCATGCCAGGTTGGTGCTGCCAGAGGAGCACACACCAGGCATGCCAAGGTAGCCACAGGGATAGGGGGCACAGACATCCCTGCTCCTGGAGCCAGGGTGCAGCAGCAGCTCCAGCCCTGCAGACAGCGCGTGGTGCCTGACCTGGCTACACAGCACCAGGCACCCCCTTGGCTGTGGGGAGCAGGCTGCAGCTGAGCAAGGGCCATAAGCACCAGCAAACCCCAGCATGGAGACAGTGAGGGTGTCCTAGCACGGCTGGGGTGCCCCCAGGGCAGCCTTTCCCACACACAGGGTGAGCTGGCAGGGTTGCTCTTCCTGGAGGGGCATGGGGTGCAAAATAAGTTTGGGGGTCCCTACCTGCACTCGCACCGCTTGTGCTCAGTGAACGCCATCTCCACGTAGGGTGCCTCCCCGTTTGGCTTTATCTTCAGGAGCTGGAAGAGGAGCAAAGGTTACTTCCCAGCCGGCGGCGGGAGGGGGCTGGACGGGCTCCTGCGGCACTGCCTCGCTCCCCCAGCCTCTCGGGCAGACGCGTGTCTAACCTGTTCCTCGGGACCTCCGGCAACGGAGACTCCACCTCTGCACCCAGGCAGTGCCAGCCAGGCCTGGCTGCCCTGGTGGCTTGGGAAGCTCTGCTAGTGCTGCCCAGTGTCTTCAGGGCTGTATTTTAAGTCCCATGGTCTTGGGATTTCCCAGCCTTAGAGGAGATTTTTTTCTGTCTCTGCCTTTGTGGAGAGCTTTCACATATTTGACCACTTGGCACATCTCCCTTCTCTGATGGAAATATCCCCCTAGTTGTGTTTCCCAGACCATTCCCATTGCTGCTGCCTCCTCCTGGCCCCCTTTCCTGCAGCACTGATCCTGGAGTCAGTACCACAGTGCCTCCTGAGCCCAGGGGTGCAGGATTTGCCCTGTCACATGTCAGTACACAGCCCAGCCTGGAGTTTGGGTTGGATACCCAGGGGCTTCATGGGGTATGTTCATCATTGGTGTGATTCACACTAAGCCCCGCAGAAGTGCCTGGTGTTGCCACCCCGCACCAGCATCCCTCTCGTGGAGGGAGACCTGTGCTTAGTGAGTTGCCTCCTGCTCACATCAGGCACTGCTCCAGCCCCATCAAGAGGTTTTGGAGACTCCCACCCTGCCTTCCAACATGCTTTCAAGCCCTGAGGGACCAAAATCACTGGTGATTTACTGCAGGCTCTCTCTAGTCCATCACCTACAGCAAAGCAGAGCTTTTCCCTGCTCCCTGCAGCAGTACCAGGTTGATCCCCCTGGCAGTGTGGCACAAGGGCTGCAGTGTGAGGACAAGGGCTTCCTGGTGCATGGGAAAGAGCTGACCGGCAGCTTGTCTGCAGCCTGGGGGATCTCCCACCCCACTTCATGCAGCTCCCACAGCAGGGACTGGAAACACAGCTGGTGCAGCCCCTCATGCTCACCGCACCCCCAGCACACATTCACTGTCAGCACCACCATGGGCATCTCCTGACACATGGGAGCCTCGCTTCTCCCTGTGAATTCAGGTACAGCACCTGCTTGGCTCCAGCAAGTGGAGTCATGGGCAACTGGGACCCCCCCCAGCCCTGCTGCAGGACAGGGAAGGTCTGGAAAGGCGATGGCAGTCAACAAGAAGGACCATGCAGAGAGGAGAGGGCAGGGAAGCAGGGAGCGAGGCCAGTACTACCAAGGGTGTCACCTGGCCTTGGGGACAAGCCCAAAGAGCAGCAGAGGGACCCTCCTGGTTTGGCACACATTTGTGCAGTTGCGAGTAAACCCCCTCCCCGCTATTATCCATGCCGCTAGGATGTCTGGAGGATGTGAAGTTGCAAGTTCACCCTCCCAGTGGTTGGCAAGAAGCCCACCACCTCCCTGGTGCGGCCACAGCCCCGCAGCGGCAGCGCTTACCTGCAAGGTGACCGTGCTTGTCTCCACAGGGACACAGCGGAGCCCCTCATCCCCACAGCAGCCTCCGCAGCGCTGCAGGGCGACGCAGGAGGGTCTGAAAATGTACTCCACCTCGTTGGGGAACTCGGTAACGACGTCCACCAGCTGCTCCAGAGGCCGGCAGAAACTACGATTCCAGATCTCCCGAAAGGTCAGGACTGAAAGAGACCGGGGTGGGGGGCTATAAGGAGGCACCCCGGGGAGGCTGAGCCCAGCCGGCCACTGCCGGGACAGGCGCAGCAGCCGTGGTGGGGTCCCACATCCATCACGCGGGCACAGGGGTGCAGAGGACCCCCTTGTGCCCCACTAAGTCCATCACCGCGCTGGTGCGGGGGCTCACACAGCC